TGCCAGACCCATCGCATCAAGATGAATTTCAGCATCAAGCACCCAAGACATATAACTTTTGCCCGATATATCCAGGGCTACAAATTCAAGTTTAGAAATATTTGACATTATTTAGGAAAATAAAGTTCTTACCTCAGATACTTTCAAAATATTTGCTCGAGATGGCAGAGTCTCGTGTTGATAACGTATTATAAAATAAAGACTANTGATGGAGTCTCATATGGATAAGCTTCTTCAGGAAACTTATTTACAACGGAGTACTAAACGAACATCCATAATATAATATATTTATAACATTGAGTAATTTTTTGCTTATCTATGCAAGTCTATTTGAATAAAATTATGGGATAAATCGAGGTGTACAAATATTATGATTATTTTGAAAAGAAAAAAAATTGTGTCAGGAGTAAGGCCTTATTTGTTTGCAGGGTCTAAATCTGAATGAATCAGATCTTAGTTGTTTTTTTATTTTTAAAAAGTCTGTTTAAAATACCGAAAATACACGCCTCTTTATTCTCTCTCTTGACATCAGGCTATTCCTTCTAAACCCCAAAACAAATTTCATCCTTCACACGTCGGATCTTTTTGTGGGTAAGATTTTGAAAATTACACTTGGAATTCTCCATCTTGTTTCCACTTTTCTAAATGGTAAATTTCTTTTTCGAGTTTAGGGTTTAAAAAACCCCCTTTTTGAGAAGGGGCTAAGCTAGGAGGTTTTGCTTGCCTCTTATTTGTGTCTTTGTTCTCACTCTTGGATATTCTATTTTGATTGAATCTCTGAATTTTCTGTAATTTTGTTGACATCCCGGTTCTCTAAATCGTAAATCTTCTAAATTGTTAGCAATGTTTTTTTCTCTTTTGCAGATTCACATAGTCCCTTTTGAACCTTCTTTTGTTTTCTTCAAGAATTGCATATTAGTGACTGAAATTTAATTTCTCTAGTTTTTTGAAATATAAACCGTAATTGGTGTTTATGAAGCTCGTCCAAAATTAAGAAACTTTGCTATGGCTAGAATTTGGATAATCAAGTTCTGTGTTGTTGAAATTAGAGCCGCTATAGTTTCATATTTGGCTAGAATTCGGATAATGTATACATAAGTAAGATTTATATTTCAGTGCTTTCTGAATATTTTTGTGCTATTGCTCTTGAATTATTAGTCATATGTTACATGTTTTATAATTGAACCATGCTTTCTTTTGTTTATTCAAGAATAGCTTCTTTACTTCCTCAATTTTTTTCCTATTTTGTGTTTAAGATCATACCATTTACTACATCTTTGCAATCTTCATTCAGATTATTTGCTTAGAAATATACAACTTATCTTCATGGCTGCCTCAAGGGTGAGGCTAGTAAAGTCTTCGCTTTAGGCCCCAAAAAGTGTTGTAAAATACGTAATAATATTTTGACTTAGACAATTCTGAACTTTGTAGAAAAAAAGTATAAAATCCGTGTAAAAAAGGTTTTAAAAAAAACAAAGAATATTTACTTTTTAACATAAGAAATATTCTAGAACTTCGAATTAAACTACTCAAATCTTTGTATTAGCAAATAAAGTTTTTTACATCAAGATCCAAGGTAATGCATTGCAAACATATTGCTAACATCTTACTAATTTGAATTAACACTTGATAATATAAATAATAATATTACTAAATGAAGCTAAAAGTCATATATCTTGTATGAATACTTTACGTTCCAAATATTTTTTTGGTTACATTTCATTACTACAATTGTTGTTATTATATATAATTTTCATTTATAGTTCAAATAGTTTAACAATTGGAACTTACATAAAATATTAATTTATATCTTATAATATTTCAATTTATCTCAAATAATAACTTTTTTTGTTCAAGTTAATATTTTCACTAATTGATGTAATATTTAATCACTTTTTTTTGAATTGTATATGTTTTTATCTTGAAATATAAGCCTTATTGTCTGTTAGTAATAGTAGGAACATATATTTGTATGAATTTAGACATACCACAGACGGCGCCCGTAATTTTGGTCATTTTCTGGTTCTTTTTCCTGCACTTATTCCTCAATTTCATCTCTTTTTTATTCTTCGCATTTAAACCCTAAAATATCTAACAGAAAAAGGAACTGGGGAGTGTATTGTTGGATGGAGTTAGCAGCTTGTATTAGCCATTGCTATGCCTTCTCTGTACGGCCGTCCACTTCTACTTCTAGAAACTTCTCTCCTCTTCCGCCACTCTCGCTTATCCAATATCCAATTCAACGACAATGTCAACTGCACCTCGCCGGGGCTAATTCCGTAGGTACGAAACTTTCTTCCAGCCACCAACACTTATTTCTGCCAAATGTTAGCATTTTTTTTGTGCTCCTGCAACTTGGAGAATTTTTCAATTGATTTCTGTTAGCTAATTACTCCAGACACTCTTTCCATTGAAAGAGTACCAAAAATGCATGTAAAAATTTCTATTACGAATGTTATTTTATATAACTTCCAGAACTCTAATTCATCTACCTATTTAAAATTTTAGCTTAGATGTAATTCATTTCTATCAAACTAAGTTTTTGAACTTTTAATTGCTTCATCAAAAAAAACGTTTTTGAAATTTTAATTAGTATTCCCTTGGACAAAATTCAAGTTGAAGTTGAAAAAACTTTGCGTAAGTTGAAGTTGTTTTCGGATATTTGCCAAAAAAAAAATAAAAAAAAATAAGAGGTTCGCAAGAGTTGCACATTTGTGAATGGAAGTTAGGAAAATTTTATTTGAGTTGAAATATACATTCGAGCCACTGGGTTCAAATTCTTTCCTAAACTTATGAAACACACTTCAACTTGCAAAATTATGTAAGATTATTTGCAACTAACAAGCCCTTAATAATTTCCTTCCACTATCACTAATATTATAATAAATAAGTCAGATTAACAGCTTAAACGTTGTGAGTAGTCAAACTTCACATAAAATGGGATAGAGGGAGTAGTAGAATTTGCCTATTGGTTCTGTGAAGCCATTTGGATAATAATGATGTCCATCAAATTGTTAGGTTCTCTCTTATCTCTGAATGGTGTGAGGTTGCGACAGTCATGTCTTGCCGCTGTAATGGGTGATACAACTGCAGTGCCAAATGGTGCTGTTAACGAGCAAATTCCCTCTGTGAAGCTGTCTGATTCAGTTACTAGTCAAGAAACTGATATGGAAAATGGAGAAGACAGGAAAGATCCTTCTGAAGGGTTGGATGAGAATAAAATGATCAGAGTATGCGACAAGTTAGTTGATGTCTTCTTGGTTGACAAGCCCAATCCTACCGATTGGAGAAGATTACTAGCATTTAGTAAAGAATGGAACAATATCCGGCCCCACTTCTATAACCGGTGTCAAAATCGAGCAGAAAGTGAGAGTGATCTTGGAATGAAGCACAAGCTACTCAGGCTTCAACGAAAGATGAGAGAGGTAACTAGCGCCTTTGCGAGCATGAAGTTTTCATTCTGTACGTGCCAGATCATGACTTAGTAACCACTTTCATTTTCCAAAGAGACCCAATTATGCCAAACTCGTTTTGGAATAGTTTCAATTCTCCATGATAAGTCGAGATGTTATTATGTTGTATTTAAATGAGGTCCCTCTTTAAGGAAGTCCAAGCAAGGGCTCAGTTGAATCATAAATACTCAAAATAATCAATTATTTTATGTCTAGTCTTTGCTAATTGCAGTACATTGGGCTGAGGTGAACTTCTATGATCAATTTACATATTACGGGTCAAAGGATTGAGGATGATTTAAGGATTATTAGTGGATTTCTTACAGTATTTCTCTCATGTTAGGATACAAATTCTAGATTTCGTTTGAGCTTGGTATGTTTTCTATTGAACTTCAACCAGTAACTTTATTTTGTAGGTTGATAATGATGTTCAGAGGCATAACGAACTTCTTGAGGTAATCAGACGGTCACCATCCGAGGTTGGTGATATTGTTGCCAGGCGTCGTAAAGATTTTACAAAAGAGTTTTTTGCTCATCTTCACACTGTAGCAGAATCCTATTATGATGATCCATCGGAACAGAATGGTAAATATGCCTCCTGCCTGGAAAAGAAATAAATGTGGTTCTTCTGTTTGCTATATTGTTTTTGGGGTCATACTGCTAATGACTTTCGGATTGTTTTCTGCATTAAGACACTCTTTTCCTTTTTGCAAAATATACACTCTAGAAATGTTGTTTCCCATATATGAAATCGTTTACTCTTACCCACAACCTTGCCACATGTGAAGTCACCCCAAAGGACCAATGGAAAGAAGTGAGTAAAATATCAACTAAAAGAATTTCTCTGTTGCCTTTGAAAGCAAATGCTACAATATAATATACAATGAGATAGAAGAAGCTTTGGAGAACCTTTGACTTTGGGAGTGTGAAGTTCCTCTTGCTGTAAAGTTAGAAATTAAACTCCACGAGTTCACAAACATCATTTCCTTGATTTTCATAATAGTTTATCTGCTGTTGATAGGTTTCACTGACAAGATCTTCCTTTTTCTTAATAATTAGCTGTGGCAAAACTAGGGAATACGTGTTTGGCAGCTGTGCAAGCTTATGATACGGCAACTGAAAGTATAGAAGCGTTAAATGCTGCAGAGTTGAAATTCCAAGATATAATAAATTCTCCATCAGTGGATGTGGCTTGCAAGAAAATAGATGATCTAGCCCAGAAAAATCAACTTGATTCAGCACTGGTGCTCATGATAACGAAAGCATGGTCAGCAGCCAAGGAGTCGGACATGACAAAAGACGAGGCAAGATCATGCTTTTCTTCAGATACACATCCATATGCCACTTCTTGCAATAATTTTTCTCTGTCTTAGCATTAACTTAATTAAGAAGAGAGATGCTTACCGAAGTGATAGTATTCAAAATGACACAATTTTTAGTGATATCCAAACAATATTTTTTTGGGAGCTACTTGAGATTTTGTTGGAAAATTTTCTTCTCAATTCTGAAGTGTCCTTGGCTCTCCACTGGTGAGGCTATAGAAACAAAGAAGTTCGGGGCAAAGGTGAAAAAATATTTATGACTATTGATATGAATGATGGGAGTTTATCTCATTATTTAATACAATAGTGCTACAGATGATGATTAGCAAATGTTGCATGATTTTGCTAAAGAATGTGAACGTTAGTAACCTAGTGCCACAAGCTAAGGTTATCGTATCTGGAATTGGTACGGTGGAATAGTGATTGCTATTCTCCACGTTGACTAAAATGCTTATGTCCATTTTAAACTCTTAAGATAGTGCATAGGTAGTAGCTTCTGTGAGCTCATGCACCAAGCTGCTTTACTCTTGTGACCTAGCTTATATCATCTTGCATTTGAAGAGAACTTATTGTTGGAATGCCTTTATGTTGAAGTTACTATTGGAATTTTACAGGTAGCATAGCAGAGTCTGCATCTTAGATGTGGTAGATTAATGTCTTAGGATTTCAGGATAGATAGACCTAGCTGTAGCTGTAAAAGATAATATTCATTTGGCTGTTCTTATCCAAGTTACATGACTTCGCTTTTCAATCTCTATTGTTTTTATGGAACTTTCACAAGGCCAGATGCCATTTCTATACAAGTTTGATATTTCAGCACAGGTTGGCTACTCCCCCTCCCCCCCTCGCAATGTGGAATTCATTTTTCTAACATGCAAATGGTTAGGCTTGTCAAATCTTTTTTTGCTTTTTTCAGGTAAAG